GAGTTTGGAAGAAGCAATTAAGTCTTTTAGACAATCAAAATAAGAAATACCTATAGTGAACGAGTTCATTCAAGTTTTCCCTGAAGATTTACCCAGACAACCTGAGGATATGAAGATAGAATTCACCATCGACCTAGTTTTGAGAACCTACCCAAACTCCAAGACACCTTATAGAATGGCTCCAACCGAACTGAAGGATTTAGGTTCCGTTAGATGAATTGTTAGCTAAAGGATTTATTCGCCTGAGCTTTCACCTTGGGAGCCTGAGTACTATTTGTCAAAAAGAAGGATAAAACTATACGACTTTGCATAGACTATTGAAAATTGAACAAAGTTACTATAAAGAACAAGTACCCCTTACCTAGAATTGATCGCCTGTTTGATCAACTAAAAGGAGCATCAGTGTTTTCAAAAATCGACCTTCATTCAGGCTACCACCAATTGAAGATTAAGGCCTATGAAGTGGAAAAGATAGCATTTAGTACTAGATACAGACACTATGAATTCTTTTAGTGATGCCGTTTGGATTGACCAACTCACCTACAACTTTTATAGATTTGATGAACATAGTTTTAAAAGAAATTCTTGATAAATATTTTATCATTTGACGATATTTTGATCTATTCCAAAAATGAAGCCGAGCATCGAGAACATCTTAGAATTGTAATACATGTTCTTAAAGAAAAATAGTTATACGCTAAATTCAGAAAAGTGTGAATTTTGGTGGGATTAGGTTTGCTTTCTAGGACATCTTATAAATAAAGAAGGAATATCAGTGGATCCAAATAAAACAGAAGCAATAAAAGGTCAGAGTGTCATTGGATTAGCTGGATATTACTCGAGGTTCATTTTAGGATTCTCTAAAATTGCTACACGACTCATCTAGATGACTCGAAAAAGTGTTCCATTTAATTGGACCCAAGATTGTGAGGAAATTTGTCAAACATTGAAAGAAAGAATGACTTCAGCTCCAGTTCTCACTCTTCCGGCAAATAGTGAGGTTTCACTATTTATAGTGACACTTCAAGGAACGGTTTGGGTTGTGGCTTAATGCAACACGAAAAAGTATTTGCATATGCTTCTCATTAACAGAAGTCATATGAAAAGAATTATCCAATCCCAAGTTTGGAGTTAGCAGCCATCGTATTCGCTCTTAAGATATGGCAACATTACCTTTATGGTGAGCAATATGAGATATTTGCTGACTGTAAGAGTCTTAAATATTTTTTACACAGAAAGAATTGAACATGAGACAACAATGTTGGTTGGAATCGATAAGGGATTATAATTGTGCAATTAACTACCAACCAGGAAAAGCAAACATGGAAACAGATGCTTTTAAGTCATAAGGGAGCTAAAGATGAACCCAGAGCCAAAGAATTAGATAAGGGAATTCGAGACTTCGATCTCGAGATTCTACACCTTAGTGAAGCTAAGTTGATGACCATATCTCTTCAACGTAGTCTCCTGGATCAAATTAGAGAGAATAAGAAAAATGATAGATTGGTTGAAAAGATCTGAAAGAATTTTAAGAGTGGGAAACCTACTAAATTCAAATAAATTAATGCTGAAAATTTACGAGATTCTATACTCGAGTGAAGCTAAGTTGATGGCCATATCTCTTCATCCTAGTCGACTAGATCAAATTCGGGAGAAGCAGAAAAATGATGCATTGGTTGAAAAGATTTGACAAAAATTTAAGAGTGGTAAACCTACTAAATTCAAATAATTTAATAATGGAATTTTACAATTTAAGGAACAATCCAATGTCCCTAAAGATGCAATATTACAACATACCATTCTAAGTAAGGCTCATTCAACACCAGACTCGGTACCTTCTGGATTGACAAAAATGTATCATGATCTCAAGACCATAGATTAGTGGCCCAAAATAAAGCGATATATAGCAGCGTTTGTAGGAAAATCTTCACTTTCCAACAAGTCAAGGCAGAACATCAATGTCCAGCTGGGAATTGCAATCTTTGACTATCCCTGAATGAAAATTGGAGAAAATAACTATGAACATTTTGATATGGTTACCTTGAATGACAAAGGATCATAATGCTAAATGGGTAATAGTTGACAGTTTAACCAAATCAGCACAATTTTAACCTATTTGAACCACATATAAAATGAAACAATTTGTCGAGTTATGTAGTCGTGAAATTGTTCGACGTCAAGGTGTCCCAAAACCTATAATATCAGACTGAGACCCAAGATTTCTTTCAATATATTGTAAAGTCTTCAGAGTATATCAGGTACTAGGTTTAATTTTAGCACTTCTTTCTATCCCCAGATGGATGATCAATCTGAAAGAACCGTCCAAACATAAGAAATGTTAAGAACATGCGTATGAACTTCCAGGGAGTTAAACAAATACTTACCATTGGTGATTGGTAGAATTCTCTTATAATTATGCCTACAACGCATCTTTGGCATGCCTCCTTATGAAGATATGACAAATGATATTGATAGCTTTTTATAATGGGACGATGCTGGATAATGATAATTAATTAGTCCTGAAATTGTTCAAGATATGCTTCAAGCTGTATAACGAATTCAACAATGCATGTTAATGACTTAAAGTCGACCCGATAAGCAAAGACGGCCTTGGGAATTTACAGCCAGTGATCAAGTTTTTGTGAAGATAGCACCCATCAAACTAACAATAAGATTTCGAAAGAAAGAAAAACTCAGTCCAATGTTTATAGGGCCATTCAAAATTCTCGAAAGAGTCCGACAGGTTACTTATATTATGATTATGATATGATATTTTGCAGTTTTATGAGAACGTCTAAGTCTTAACTATTATTATATAACGTTATATTATCAATTGTTAAGTTGTGAACCTAATTTCGATAAATATGTCAATGAGAAAGTTTAACTATTTTTGAAATACTCCACTCCCTGAATCTATTAACTCATTTATTTTTTCGTGATTTTTCTTATCAGGTAGCAGTTGAGATTTTGGCCAGCTTTTGAATTTGAACCTTGATTTTGGAGTCGAAGCTACACAATAGAATTAGATAGTATGACTCATTTCATAGAGAATGTAATCATTATTATTGGGGTACATGTTCATTTTTCCATATCATATTTGCATCACATCTAGGTAGCTAGATGGACTTTGTATTTTGTATTCATATGTATAGTTTATGTTGTTTTCACAGTAAAGGTTTTAAAATTCTGCTTGTCTCTAGTTGTAATTATTGAAGGGAAAAATGGTTCCAAATTTCTGTGATTATTGTGTTGAGCTATGTTGCTTTTCATTGTAGGTTGGGTAGTCTAAATTATAGGGAAGATAATGCAGAAATTTTCTTAAAAATAAGTCATAATAAGTTGTATTAGTATAATATAGTACCTTGATAGTGGATCCGACTTCTTGTTGGTATCCATCATCAATGCATGTCACGACCCAAGTCCAATAGTTTTAATCGATGAGAGTTGTCTCTAGTATGTATGTCAATTAGACCTGATTCAACGCCCTGTTTGACGAAGAGTACTAGCACTGTCAAAGTAGTAAGTGGCTGATGTAAAGGTTGAGATATTCATACCGTATTCGTTTGATCAATTAAAGTCTGAGTAAGAATTTCTCAGCTGGTTCTCTGATAGCAGTTGTTGATGAATCCTGCTGGATCTTACAATTCCAAGCATACTTTTGCCCTGAAAACTTTATTAATTTTGGTAAGCAAAGAAACTGAGTACAGCGAGTCCATTGTGTAATGAAGTATGAAGGTGCTAGGCAATTTGTTGTCAAACGACCCCCCAGGCTATGATGTAACCCCGGTTTTATTATCAATCGGCCTTTGCCATATGATTGATTAGTATATCGACACAATTATCGAGACAACCCAATCCACATTCGTATGGACCGTTCAAAGCAACCTATTGCTAATAGTGTTGCTCACGGTTCGTCCTATTTTCTTAGAAGGTTATGTTATTAATTTGAAGCCCATTATCTTTGAGTCGAGCCTTGTTTGGTCCACTAAATAACTCTAACCTAACTTACCTTGTTTGGATATTTACTTGGCTTATATTCTTGTCTTTCTCTCGGCCTCAAATAGAAGAATGCCCAACCTCTCTTTGTGAGACTCACCTCTCGGTTTTCATCTCTTCTCTGTGACTTTTGTGGTTAATTGCTAGTGGGCATATTATTGTACATCATCTTCCCAACTTATAGCAACCGAAAGTGGGGCGCCCTTCATCGTGGTATTGGAGTTGTCTCAATCCTTGGTGGTGTGACTAAATAGGTGAAACTGAGCCCGGTTTGAACTTGGTGTTTGCTGGAAATCGGCCCTACAGAAGGAAATTATAGTTTTTTAAATTACATATTTTGAGAGTTTTTGTTTCAAATAAGATCGAAAAGGGACAGATGATACCTTGGTAGTTCATTTGCATGAGGGCACTTGCAATACATACATTCAGAAACGTCTCCGGAGTTAGGATATCCAACCTTATAGCAATTACCACAGCTTAAAAAAAAATAATAATAATAAAAATTAGACACGTATTCTCGATATTAAAATTGCTCCAAGCATACCTTCTTTTCCTTTTTTTTTTTTTTTTTTACAAGCAGCCTATTTACCTCGAAAGTTAAAGGATTATTGGTACGTTGAAGTTCCTCGATAGATAAGTTTACAAATATAAGTTAATTTTCATCATTACAAAAATTAAACATTAAAGTTCTATGATGTCAAGATATTCATAATTACATATAAATCAGCACTCCTAAACAAAAATATCTCATTTTTTAAGAGAAAATGCAACTGAAACTCTATGGTAGAATGAGTTGGTCTTGATTTTTAGTTTACATTTCTCCAGTTAGAATCAAAATGGTTTTTTTAAGTCAATTTCCAATTTGTTAGTCGAACTAGCCAGATCATGCCAGTTTTCGTAAGGCTTGTCAAAACTTATCGAGATGATGTGAAAAAGAAAGTTTTCATAATATATAACTTGACGACTAATATAAATGCTATTCTTATTAAAGTGTAAAACGTGAACAATTTCCTCAATTATTAATGGCTGCCACCCTTGGAACCTCAACTGGAAAATCATTAATCTCTTCCATCCATGGGTTCTTCTCCTTAGCCGGATCAATGGTCCTCAATGCACGCCACACTGCACTGTTACATTTAAACCCTGATCCAAATGCAATTTGCCAAGTTCTATCCCCTCTTCGAATCCTCCCCTTGGCCTCTGAATACGCCAATTCATACCACAATGAACTGCTAGAAGTATTCCCAAATCTGTGAAGTGTCATTCTTGATGGCTCCATATGCCACTCGGAAAGTTCCAGATTCTTCTCCAGTTCATCCAACACGGCTCTTCCTCCTGCATGAATGCAGAAGTGCTCGATCGCGAGCTTAAAATCCGGGACATAAGGACGAATTTTCATTTTCAATACCTTACTGGCGACTAAGGTTACAAAAAATAATAACTGTTCCGACACCGGAAGGACTAATGGTCCTAGGGTTGTAATATTTGTTTTTAAGGACTCTCCAGCAACTGCCATTAAGTCTTTAGACAATGACACTCCGATTTTCTTTATATCATCTTCTTCTTGCAATACGCAGCCATAGCTTTTTTCATTGGCTCCTTTGTGTGTACGGACAGTGTGGATTAAATGATATTTTGAATGTCGACGATCAGACGACTTGTTGGACAAGAGGATGGCAGCACCACCCATCCTGAATAAGCAATTTGTGACGAGCATTGGTCGATTGTTGCCAATATACCAATTCAGTGTCATGTTCTCCATGGTCACTACCAATGCATAGGAGTTGGGATGCACCTGGTACATTACATACATAGAGAATACCATTAATAGTATTGAAATTATAGGTGTAGGGGCCGCACCCGTGTCATTAACACCGGTGTAGGGGCAGCACCCGTGTCATTAAATTATAGGTTCAATTAAATATTAGGATTTATAACTCATTTATTAAGACCTATGACATGCTGACACCTGATTGGTATTGATTTGTCTATTGTACTGTTTAGCGTGCATATATAAAACATGCCATTAAGCAATTTGACAAACCTGTAAAAGTTGTTTGGCAAGATCAATAGAGATCAATCCAGCACTGCATCCCATTCCACCAAGATTATAGCTCAGAATATTGCACCGAAGCTTGTAATGATTCACTACCATAGCAGAAAGTGATGGTGTTGGACTGAACAAACTGCAATTCACCACAAGAATCCCAATATCCTCAGCCTTCACTGCTGTCTTAGAAAAAAGATCATCGATTGCACCAAACATTACCATTTCAGCCTCCTTTATCGCTTCAGATATACACAGATTCAAAGGCATGCGGAAAAGGGATTCCGAAATATATGACTTCTGTCCTATTCCTGATCTTTCCAAGATTTTCTTCTGAAAACTCAAATTTTCTTTGGTAAAAATATCGGCCTGTCTTGATGTCTCCATGAAAAATTCTTTACTGCACATAAGTTCTGGTTTAGGCTTGAAACACGCAAAATCCATCAAGTAGACCTTCCTCGGTCTTGTAATGAAATAAAATATGCCCAACAAAACCATTAGAACAGAACATACAACAATGGTGACAAGATTGAATTTCAGCTGCTTCCATTGAAGGAACAAATCCTTCGGAGAAATGATCCAGAGTGGAAGAAATATCAAGAGATATATAGCATGTGAGAATAAGTAATGGTAACCAAGTTTCACATATTTGAGCATAACATAAAGAAGAGAAATGGGAAGATTAGCCTCAACCCCAATTTTTCCTGTTTTGGAATTCGTCTGCTCATTCCCCATTGCTTATCATAGATTTTAAACAAAACCCATAATTCGAAATACCCTCTATAGCTTAAACACCAAAGAACTTTGATGAAAAAATGAATCTGACGGGGGATTATTGCTAAAAAATGAAAAATCTGGAAGCTAACGGAGTGTAAACTATAAGGCGGATACAATATTTTTGCTTCAAAAAGAAGATTTTTGAATGTATAATTTGTAGAATCTTGCAAGTAATCAGGAAGAGAAAACAAGGTTTTTTGCAGATGTAGAATGAAGAGTTGTAAGGGAATTTATAGAAACTTAAGAAATGAAATGTGTATGGGGGTGGGAGCACAACTACCCCCAACGAACTTTTAATTGTAATCCCGCCATAGAATTGAATTTGCCTGACGTTTAAATTTGTTAGATATTTAGCCCAACATTTGACCAACTAATTTCTATTTTGCCACTCTATAGAGGCTGAGAGACGACACGCCCATGGCAATGTTGCATTCGGACCTCCCTCTTGAAATCACAAGAGACAAGTCGACGACCCTTACTGCCATAAAATAAGAACTTTTATTAGCTATACAAATTATAGTAATAAGAAAATTTATTACTATGTGGTCTGTTGCATCATAATGACCGTTTATTTGCCTGATCAAATGAAGAGAACTACCACAGATTCAGACCATAGTGACCATTTTTCTCTAACGGAGATTTGGACGATGCGGCCTGAAAGTCATTATGGTGCAATTTTTGCAATATTTGGAATGGCGGTGTCAAAAATAGAAGATTTGGACCCGCTACATATTTTTGAAAGTTTTAAGACCCCAACTGCAATTATCTATAAGAATTAGGGGAAATGACAAGAAAGGAAATTTAAAAATTAGGCAATATTAGTTGCATGTATTATATTCACTGTGATGTTTCTTGGAGACTGCAACTCTCAATATCAATAATATGATTTCTATAGTTTTTGTTTATGCAATGGTTTAGTAAATCACTTAAGGATAAAACTAGTTGGACACGCCCCTATCCAACGCAAACAACCCCCAGTAGAGGGTTGCCACGTCGACCCCTGTTTGGACAGGGGCTTGTCCGTATAACAGCCCCATCACTTAATACTGACATTTACATTGTCAATTAGATGTCAAAGATTTCCATGAACTTTGTTCATCATTATTGATTAGAGTAGTGATTTATGGTGCATGTCTAAAATGATCGAGGTGTCACCAAAAGAATTGAAGAGGTATATTTCACCTTACTCTAAGATGGAATTCAGTTCATTGAATTGTACTCTTGCAATTTGGATCGAATACATATTGGGTCAAATGTCTAATGAAAGGCTCTTGTTATGCACATACTGTGCATCTAGTATTTAGTACAAGAAAAATTAACATGATTTTTTTTTTCATTTTCCTTAATTTTACTCACTGTTGTACAAGTCCAATTTATCGAAGAAATTGTTAATAATAAAAATGTATCAAGGGAGGGCAAAAAAAGAGAAAAAGCATAAACATTTAGCCCTAATCGAATTTAATTCTCTATATATATATATATATATATATATATACACACACACCAACTTAGACTTTTGACTGACAAATATTAGACCAACTTATTTCTTCCCATAGTACTAGAATACATTCAAATGTCTTAAATATATTGAATGTAATATTGTGTGTATATGTTTATATCCAACTGTCCATATTCCAATAGGTGTTTTATTGATTTCCTGATTCAAACAATAAGTACCTGCCAACTTCTAACAATCACCTACCAAATAGCATCCCCTGATACCCTTTCTCCCACGAAGTTTCCGCCTTAAGCCATGGGCGGAGGTACTCCCGAGCCCATATAAAAAATTAAGAAGAAAGTGTAGAGTTTTGACCCAAATGTTAGCGTTAGCCCAGCTCTAGTTTGTATCTCAACCCAATTCTAATGTTCAATTATTTAAATTGTATAAAAGACATTAATTATTAATTACTTTTTCATGAAATTCATAAAATGTGAATATTTTATTGTCAAATTAGATATTCTACTTAATGTATGTTTGACTAAAATTTACTTATAATTATTAAGTAAATTTTATTATAGAATATTTGTATTGATTAGATCTAAAAGTAAATTACTTATTTTAATAGTTAGAGACACTACATATTTTTCAAAATTTTAAGGTAATTATTATTTTTTGTTTCTACATATGTTTTTATTTATTATTTATTCATATTTATTAAAAAAATTATTTATTTTGACCATAAAATAGATATTATGATCAAAATAAAAAACTTTAAATAGATTTGATATTGGCAATAAAAAGAATATTTGTTAAAATTTATTTATTTATGAAGTAATCTACATACGAGTATATTCTTGAAATCAAGCAGAAAATGGATGTGAATTAAATTTAATTTCTTTAACCCTCAAAATTCTTAGTTTATTTTTCTTACTTTGATTGAGATTCTTCACTCACTTTGAAATGTAGTGATATAAAAGATCGATGAAAACACCAAATAATATTTTGAGACAATAACATATGGATTATAGTGATATATTATTGATTGCATGTTTCAATCCAATTTCAATTGTTTTGAAAGATTGGTTGTAAAAATTACTAGAAGAGTACTTATTAAGTATTTTTTTTTTTAATTTTCATCATTGGATATTTATTTTTGCTTATTTCTATCATGATTCAGTTAGTTTATATTTTTTTAGGTAAGCATTTGTTAAAAAAATACAAAGATTTAGTGAAATATATTAATATGAGACATCTAAACTTTTTTTATTTCACTGAGTTTTCGTATACTTTTTGTTGTGAATGTCATGAGAATAGCCTCCGAAACTCGATTATTTTTGAAAAATAAAAAATAAATTTGAGCACATCCTGGCTCCGCTTGAGCAGAAAGAATTGTTGAGCTCAAATCGGTTTGTCAATTATTTATAAAAATCTAATTAATATTTGAAAGTGTTACAAAATCGGAACTGTTAACTCAAATAAAAATTGGGGAATCAATCAATAAAATGGTAGGTCTAAACCAAAAACTTAAACATAGTTCAAATACCTAAGAATTTGTCGGTTCAGTCTCAAAACCAGCGAGCTCGCAATCAAAAATACCAAAATTTTGTTTTTATTTATTTCTTTATCCTTTACCAATGATTTAATTTTTATTTGACCATGTTATCTTTAACCTTTTACCTTTGCGAAGAAAATATGACGGCAAAGACCATCAGGAGATGGCAAAAAGTCTCAAGTTTGCGAAAGTAGAAAATCCAAAGCTAAATCCACGAAGAGAATCTGGTTCAAACAACGTAGAACCTATAAGTTTTTTATGAACATAGCAATAAAATTTAGGTATTAAAAACCTGTGATAGGTTACCTAAAAAGAGACGAAAAGATCACCGGATGAATAGATTTATTGCATTTGATAGACTTGTAGGTGAATTAAATCTCATGACAAAAAGTACAACCAATGCTATCACCGTGAAAGTAGAAAAGTAGAAAGTCTAATCAACTCTTCGTATTCTACTCCTTTATATGAAGAATATGAAGATCGGCCTATGAGATCATATGAGTTAGACGATGATGCAAACATCTATCGTTCTCGAAAGAGATCAAGGAGGTTCCAATTTTGAACAATTTCATCCACCCTATTGTAGAGAAGTATAGTCAAATGTCAAGGTTTCCATTAATACTAGACGAACCTACAAAGAGATTGTGCCGTAAATTAATATTAGACTCAATCAAGAGCTTGTTGCGATTAAAGCGGGTGTTTTTAGGAGGCCTTCGCTAGAAGTCGGCCATGGCAATTACTGGCCATGAGGCTTAGTGACATGAGACAGGAAGAAGAGAAGCCCCTTAAGAACTATTTTGCACGTTTTAGTACTAAACTTATAGCTTGTGAAACCATATCTGAAGAGAAGGCTATGGATGCCTTATGGAATGATTTATTGATATAGACTCCTTTTCTAGCGAGATGTTTGCAACAAAAATTCGGCCAATAATATAAAATGGGATCCAAATAGACGATACGATTGATAATAGAAAAAGATAGAGAAGCTCACAAGTGAAAACTCAAAGATAAAGGGAAAATCTCGACATACACACATAGGTTGCCAAATCAATTGTATCTTTGCTTTGACAAAAACAAAGAAAATGGTACATACAATTTCTCCAGCTCCTTAGTAAATTATTAGCGAAGCACATCATCCATCCCTTAAAATTTCAAAGCCAAAGTTTTGTAAAATTCACCGCACCAAGGACCATGATATAGATGAATACTTTGAAGTACTTAAAATGGCAAAGTTGCAAAGCTAGCATGGATGGACGCATGAAGACCCTGAGAATCGAAAGCCTCCTTATTCGGGTATAAGATGGCAAGGTCGAGGAGCGAGGCCAAGATATATAGGACCATCACATGCACTAGCCAATGTCCCAAATCTCCAACCTCTAGTAAAAGAGATAAAGATCATAATTGGAGGCCCCTGTGTCAGTGGGAAGACAATGAACGCAAAGAGAAGTTATGCTCAAGCCACTAAAAAAATTATTTTGGAGAACTTTTGAATTTGAGTTAATCGTAAAACCGTATTCTTTTCAATTATATTTAATGATGATGATAATGATGAGCACAGAGTATTATATGCTTATTGTGACTCATTAGCAATGCTACTCATAGCTTGTGATGGCCTCAACTGTATGTTGGTAGAAAATGACAGTTCTGTGAATATACTATTTGGAAGTGCATTCGACCAAATGTAGGTTGATCATCCTAGGTGCATATGGATGACCCCTTATATGGTTTTACTGGTGACAATTTGGCCCCACGAGGACAAATTACTCTGACAATTGAATTAGATGATGAACCAATGATGTTCAATGGATAGATGCACTTCTTTAGAATAGATAGCAAGTCTACTTACAAAAGGATCCTAGGAAGGTTCACCCTAAATTTAAAGTAGTAACATTCATTTACCATCTTTACATGAAGTTTCAAACATCGCAAGGAGTGGCCAACATCAAGGAAAACCAGCTAGCTATGAGCGAGTGTTATCTTAGTATATATTGATAAAAAGTATAACTGAAAATTTGATAAAAGTATTGAATCCAAGAAATGTGGTTGAAAGTGAATTTAGGCCTTTGTTTGGTCACTATTTTCTAAAATTCATTTTTTCACTCATTGTCAATTTGTCGAACTCAAAATTTTCATCAACATTTTATTCATACATTTATAATTA